TACCCTATTACTAAGGCTCCGCTGTGTATCACCAGGCTGTATCTCAGGGACCATAATAGTTAGACAGGTGAAATTTGATTTATTTCTGTGCCGCTATAACAACAAATACTAAAAATTGAAAAAAAAAATGAAAATTGAGCTCCCATACAACAGACATCAGAGTGCCAATCTTCGTGCGCGAGTCGGACTCGCATTTGGCCGGTTTTTTCTGATTATCTTGACGGTTTATTCAAGGGCATATTGACATTAATCTGAAAAATGCAATCGGTAATTTACCTGGAATATTCGGATTCGGCGGCCGAGACGAGGGGCTGTTGTGACTTAAACGGTGCAGAAGTGAATGCGTGATTTCATCGAATGCTCTTAAATCACTAATGGGTCCTGTAATCAGCGACGCTCTGCTGGTTTATCGATCATCGGAGATAAGCGACGTCGCCGGCTGGCTCACGAGCGAATGAAATACTGCGAGTACTTTTTATTGGGACGCTTTTTCGATATGTTAATGCTTTAAAATGAATTTTGTCTTGTTTAATTTTATTTCTTAAATTGCAATTCATTTTCATTGGAGATATGGAGGAGTGATTTAGCGTGTGTGAAGTTGCTTAATGTACATGTTTAATTTTTTAGTGTGATGTGTGGAACCATTGGGTGTCACTGGTGTTTTGAAAAATATGTAGCTTAATAATAAAAATGCCGGATTTGAAGACTCGTTGCGACAATGTAAATTATTTACCTAAACATGCTAGTGGCTAATGATTCTGTCTGTAACAGCCTAGCTAAGAAGTTCAGGAGCTCCACGAACAGGCCACCACGATAGGGGAAGTCTGTATTACAGCTAGCGGATATCAAGTCTTTTACTTGATATCCGCTTTTGTAAACACAAAATAATTCATACAAAATAAAATAATTGGGCAGTAATCCAAATGAGTGAGTTAGTCATAGACATACAGTCTCAGTGAGGAGCCACAGGATTGCAATATCTCTGATTTTGAGTCCACCTTTTTTGCCCTATTTTACCCACAGCGGAGTGCCCAAACCAGTGGATTCTGGCTAGCCCACCGGTTCTGCGTCAGATGAAGCTTTAATAGTCTCGGGACTGAAAGCAAAAACATCAGTTAATACAAGATACAAAATTAAAAATCCACGCAGCAACTCTTACTATTAGTGATTTTTAGTGGCCTATATCCTTATTAATTGGATTTGCACCTCTACAACTGTATTCGGTCATTCACAATATTTTCATCAATTACGAAACCAAGAAATGTTATTACGTAAATCTGAATCTTATATACACTTGTTTCTACCCGAATGCTTAACTTAGTTAAATAAAACGTATCTCTTCAACGTATCTTTACGAAACCACGCTGCTTTGACACTTTATTTGATAACAATAAATAAAATTAATTAGTTATTTATTATTATAACAATAAATAAAATTAAATAGTTTTTCAAGTTTCTCTCAGACTTTGTGCGTTCAAAACATTTAGTGTCTCAGACTAAGCTTTGTAAAATAATCGGTATGAAAAACATTTTACCTATAGAAGTTTATCTAATGTATAAAATTATCGTGTCACGGTGTTTGTAATTGAACTTCTCCGAAACGGCTCGCCCGATTTTCTTGAAATTTTGTGTGCGTTTTGTGTACGGTAAAGGAATGACCTTTACCGTAAAGGTCATTCCATCGTTTTAGGCATAGACTCGTGGACGTAACTAATAGAGCATAATCCGTCAGTGGGCTATGTAGCAAATTAACGAAATCTCTAAGCTTCACAGGAATTGGTGCTGTACGACTTTTTGATTAAACCAAAACCATACATATTCGTGTTCATTCTCAATTCGATCTATAACTAACAGTCCTGAAAATCAATTATAAAATGAATTCGGAGCGAGATATTTGATGTCGGTTTTGTTTTTCGTTAATAATGTGTGTAAAGGGTTGGGTAGTAGGTAAGTCACAATGATCACAGTGACCTAGGAGATCTATTGTAGTCTTCCCTTAGAAAACATTTCCCCCTACATTAATAAAATAAATAACATTATCCTGTCCTGTAAGGACTTTTAACATTCATAAATATGGACAAACACTTAGAAAATTGAAAGAATTATAGGTCCCACAAATAGCTGTTTAGTGTGGAAATCGAACAAAGACCCCCGGCGCCGAAGCCAATAGTTTAGAAACTGCACCATGGAGTAAAACGACTTGGTTGATTATAAAACTTATTTCACTATAAGTACCTCAATAACAGGATTTTTTATGACTGAAAGCAAGCGAGCAGTCGATTCATCTGATGTTAAATGATTACCGCTGCATACAGACATCGACGACAGCTGTGGGTTTACAGATGCGTTACCAACCTTAACTTTGCTATCCCACTCACAAAAGGAAAAACTACAATACTTCTACTTTATGTCGATCTCCTGCGGAGCTTCGGTAATTTTCCGAAAGGGCTTATCCATTTGCGCCAAGACCTCAGCGTGTGCTACCGCAGTAAAGAAGGCCGTAATTGATTAAAAGATATATATTTTATAAACCTATTATACAGGTTGATTTATTCGGAAAAAACTTTTAGTGCAATGCAACGTGCTCGCTATACAACCGTCACAATAGTTAGCGGATTAACATTTCAGATCATGATGGTATGGAAAAATTTACTTGTTTTGATATGGTATACCCTGATGGAATGTGATGGTGTTAGGTTATCTATAGTTATATAAGTATTTTCTCAAAGTTATTTTTTCGAAACGTCATAACTTTTGTAATTTTTGAAGAAATTTAATGACAAACGCTCCTTTTTAAAGCTTATGTATGCAGATAGAGAAAAAAAAAATAAAGTTATTGTTTTCGTAAAAAAATGTCTTTAAAGTCTATGATATGAAGAATGCACGATAATGCCATCTATTGACAATTTGTTTAAATGAAAGATATCGAGGTAGACTGTCTACCGTAATTGGTCAAAATAAGATTTAAATTTTAATTGATAAAAACTTACTAGCAAATTATTATACCGTTATTAGGTACCGTTCTGTGACTGATCACGGTACTGCAAGAAAAATTGATAACTGAATTTTTATATTCTTAGCTTCTAATTAGACATACAAGTACGTCTAAATTTTGGTCCGTTGCTATAGCACTACACAACAATAATACAGTTACGAAATCGATAATTTCCGCTCTTGTACAAATAATGTGCTTGGTGACTCCCTGTGGTTATGCGGGTGTAGAACGAAGTATGCGGCGCACATTCCCTATGTGTTTGAGATGAAAATCTGGAACATTAATCTACAGAAATTTTCGTATAATTTTGATGGCGTAATCTAAAGTTAAGAATTAAATATATTCGGCAAGCTTTACGGTTTTGATTAATGATGCTTTTTCTGTGGTTTGTTGGCAACGAGCGAGTGGTTCACCTGATGTTAAGTGATTAACTTCGACCCGTCGACGTTTTCGACACCCGTGGGTTACTGATAACTTTACTCACGAGGCGAAACGGGAAAGTATACTACCTCCACTTTACGTTAGCCTTATGAGGTCTTGGTATTTCTTTCTACGAGCCTACAAATACGTGAATCAACAAAAGATTCTGCGTGGCCCTACCACAGTTAAAAACCTTTTTATACTTAAACTACTAAGAAGAGCAGGACCTTAAATGCACTGGTTAACTAACTAGAAGTTGAAGCTCCCGAGTTGGAATGTCATTGGATAATTGACCTTCCGTTCTTTGACATTTTTATCTCACCAAGTCTCACGTTTTGATCGCGAAAGATTTATCCCTACCCTGTTAAGGTTCAATAGACGTAGCTTGTGAAGTTTTGTTGTTAACGTAATTTAAACGACGAATTTAAAATACAATAACCCATTCGAAGAAATATCACATTTTCTGTTGATTAAATCTAAGAATCAAGCCGTGATAGCTCAGTGTCCGGGCGCTCGCCTTTAATTCAATATAAACTCGAGCAACCTGAGTTCGATCCCCGGTGCCGGCACCAATGAAGTTTTTTGAACTTTAAGTGCTGAATTATCACGTGCTCCGCGGTGAAGGAAAACATCGTGAGGAAACCTGCATATTTTCAAAATAATAACAAAAAAAATGTATTTCGAGGATATGTGAAGTCCGCCAATCCGCAGTGGGGCCGCGTGGTGGACTATGCCCTGATACCCTCTATATAGAGGAGGCCTTTGCCCAGCAGTGGGACATGTATAGGCTGTTACTTTACTTTTTTTTACTTTTTAAATCTAAGAAAATCTTGCTTTTTATATTGCTGAGTTAACTGACAAATCGAATGTCAAATATAATCACGTTGGAGGAAAGCTCCCTGTTATAAGAAAGCATGCAATTATTTCAAAACCGAACAGTTGTTTAACATGCCTATTACGAAGACTAGATAAGATAATTACGCAGCGATAGGTCCCTCTTTCGTTCAAAGGTCTGTCGGTAATCATTTACTTGGGGTCACTGTAACAATTCGCTTTAACCCGCTTATTAGAAATATCTATAATACGGAAATCAAAACGATCTCGCAGTTAGGGTTAGACCTTTTTAAATCAGCCGCACTACATTAGGCTCTATTTGTTTTTTTGTTAATAGTTTCCCTATATTCCTAGATAAAACTTTTCTGTATTGACAGTTAACATAAGGTTGAAAGGAGCCAAACAACATTTTCACGCAGTAAAGACTTATCTTTTTTATTTGAGAATGTGGCAAGCGAGCTGGCGATTAACCTGATGTTAAGTGATAACCGCCTCCCATGGGCAATTGCAACACTTATTAGGATCGCATATGCGTTGCCACCTATTAATAAAGTGGGCTTCAGTTGCTCCACTCACTAGACAAAAAGCACTAGTTTAAAACTTCCAGTTGACGCTGGTCTTCGGTGAGGTCGTGGTACTCACCCGGACGGTCCTGCACCTACGTGCAACAGTGGTTACTGTCGCGTAGCCACAGGTAGAGCCCTACCACAGTAAAGCCGATATCGGTTGGAGTTCGGTATTCTCAACATTTATGCTCGAAAACGCTTACATCAGAGAGGTCAGCTGCGTATAAAACATACGGAGATAATTGAACGCGACTATTCTCGATAGTATTTAAAAATAAACCTGCCAACATCTGCTAGTTATAAATGTTCAATTATAGTGATACGAAGAACATGGCGCGTAGTTATAACGACAGAACATTGTCGTGATCTCACAGCGTGGGTACAAATTCATAAGAAAGAATGAAACAGCTTCTCATACCTTTAAACGTAAGGCATGGACGGTGATGTGCTTCTATTAAAGTTTCAATAGTTTATTAAGTTCGCAACAGCAAAGTGGTAATGCGATAAAGGAGAAATTGGTTTTCACCACTGGGATTTAAATGCGCGTGTCAGTATGGAATATGAATATAAATGAACTGAGAACTAAGAATAAAAAATGAATTAACATTTGATGAACGAGTAACGGTACATTAATTATTAATTTACTAAGTACATTTTTATCAGCAACAAACAAAACGGACTTCAAACACGCCACTAACTGTACGTTTTTATTTGATTTTGTGAAGTTCCCCGAGGTATTTCCGTAGTCCCAAGTCCAATAGCAAATAAACTAATATTCTCATATTAATTTATTTGTTACATCACATTGTATCCCACATGTGAGTTAAATGAACCCAATGCAAAAAGATTTTTTTAAAATGGGTTCATAAATGACGGAGTTCTGAGTTAACAAACATGCAACATCCTATATAATTATGTTCAACTGCTGGGCAAAGGCCTCCTACAGAGTTTATCAGGGCATATTCCACCATGCGAACCCACTACGGATTGGCGGACTTATCTTCTTAAATTTATGTTATTATTTCGAAAATATGCAGTTTTCCTATAGGAGTTTTCCTTCACTGATGAGCATTTGATAGGTCGGCATATAAAATTAACAATTTAATTGGTGCCAGCACAGGGATCGAACTCAAGTTGCTCGAGTATATTGAATTAAAGCGAGCGCCCGGACATCATGCCGGCTATCAAGTCGGTTGATAAAGCGATAATGTTAACAAGCAATATTAAGGGCTAGTTCTCATTTGAACTAAAATCGGTAATGAAGTCATTAAAGAGGTGGATTTTTTTTTAATTTATTTCTAACATGGTGGTACCAGGGTAATTTCGCAATTTCCTTAAGCAAAGCCCGTTTAATGAATAGTCTAAAATAACCTCATAAAAGTGCCGCAACAATATTGGGTCTTTATTTTCCTGTGAGGATGTTCACTCTACGAGGGTTTTTCCATAGTTCGCATTAAAAAGGCTAAATAAACTCTTATAAAAGGTTAATTAACGGAAACGGTCACCGCTTAAATAAGTACCTTTAATTATTTTATCCCTAGATGACTAATATCTACATTGAAGAGAACATAATGGAAATAAATAAAAAATTCAATATTTAATTGGGTCAATTAAACATTAAACGGTGGAAACGTGGTCAATCATAAATAATTCTAAATGAATTAATTACTGTTAAGTAATGTTGTTAAAATTATATTTATAATATATATTTAAAAATAATTTAAAAGAAAGGTATACATATTTCGCATTTGAGGTAAAAAATTACACCATTACGTCTCGTTTTACAAGCTCAAAAACAATTTGAATCGATAGAAAAATGTTAATAATGATAAGATATGTAAGTTAAAGTCCATGAAAACCACTAGATTACGAGAAAATATAGTGCCGATTCAACTCCGTACGGTCTCGGCCCGGTAGTGTCGAAGAGGCAACGAGTGCATCCAATATTACGGTACCCGCCGTCAATTTGAGCGATCGAAGCACCATGTGCTAGAGCCGCGTACCACTAGGCGGTTTCGCGGCTGCTTGGGCGGCGGACTTGGGCGGGCGGTGGGGAGTTGGGGACCCGTCCCGACACCGTCAGTCGCGACGAGTCCGCCGCGCGTGGTGGACGTCGCCGCAGCGTCACGCGCCCGCCTTCGCCAAGGTGCGCGATCGCGAACGCGCTGCGCTACGCTCGGTTTCGGTGTTTATGTGGGGCGACGATAACCGCGGCATGCACGAGTAGCGTACACGCTGGTATACCGAGGTACGTCACGATAATGACTTGTAATAACTTCGACGGTACTCTTTTAATTTCGTCCACACCGCCCCGTTTCAAAAATCTAACGAAACGATTTGTCGCTTGATCGCGAGGCGACAGTACGGTGCTGGAATTACAACTGTTTACGACCGCGCGGCGTAGCGTAGCGGATAGATACAACTATCGCGTTATAAATCAAGTCGCAGGCAACGGCGCGGCCCAATTTTTACGTACGCGAGTGCGAGCGCCTACACATGACCGCGGTGTCGGGCGTTAATGACTTCGTCGCGTCAGTCACCATTGTTGACAATTCTTTGGGATTCGCGTTACGGAAACATGTTCGCTGTTTATGCGACGCGCACGCTCTCAGCTATGTTTGACGGAATCGTACGAAAAAAAAAAATACACGGTAGAAGGTGGCGAAAGACAGAGATAGAGTTCATAATTACCTTCATGCTTGGCCATTCCAGTAACTACTGTCATTTTTTGATTGGTATATTTTTTTTAATATTGCGAAAATAATAATGTGAGGTACGCCAATCCGCAGTGGGGTTGCGTGCCGGACTATCCCCTGTTACTTTACTTATTTATAGATTTTAACAAAGATTCTTTCACGGAAGAAGGTGGCGCACGGTGGAAGATTCATTCATGCTAAGTTATCTTACCCATTAACTGTAGATTTTGGAAATAATTTTTTCAATCTGGCCTGAGCGAGACTGGAAAAATTGTTTTATTCGGTCGGACGCTACATAAGTACATAACATTAACGCCCGGTTTTCGAAACACTGATATTCGCAGATGTCGACTAATCAGCTGTCAAATGGCTTTTCAAATTTCATTTTAATTGCCAAAAGGATGGTTAAACACTCTGAATTAACCAGAATGATCTTCTTAATGATCAGAATGATCAATTCAAAGAGTTTAACTATACTTTTGGCAACTCAAATGACATTTGAAAAAACATTTGACAGCTGATTAGTCGACATCTACGATGATCAGTGTTTCAGAAACCGGGCGTTAGTTATGTAGCCGGAACCACTAGTGCCGAATAAAAGTCGCAAGCAAAGCAGGCTCAAAAGCTTAACCGGGGTGCTGTCAAAATCAAAATCAAAAATCAAAATATATTTATTCAAATAGACGCTTGCGCGCTCTTATGAATCGTCAAATTTTACATCAAAGATTTGTGTATAGGTTCGTAAGGTACCACCGGTTCGGAAAGCGGTTTCTGTTGAGAAGAGACCGGCAAGAAACTCAACAGTTGCTCTTTTTCAAAAATATCAGGGTACAATATAATATACAGGTATAATAGTCTTATTCTAGCCTACGTGAGTATCAACAGTATTAACTCCACACATTGGCGTCGTCGAGATATTCCGAAATGGTATAGTATGCTTTAATCATCAGTTGATTTTTAATTTTACATTTAAATTGGTCAAGCGGCAGACTTAATATCGACTGTGGGATTTTATTATACATGCGTACACTTTGCCCCATGAACGACTTATTTACTTTTTGTAGACGAAACAATGGCGTAGTAAGTTTGTCCTTATTTCTAGTGTTTATTTTATGTCTGTCACTATTCTTTAGGTAATAATTAAGGTTATGACGTATATACAAAACATTACAATAAATGTATTGAGAAGCAACAGTGAGTATATTAACCTCTTTGAAAAGATCTCTGAGTGAATTCCGGGCTCCGATATTGTAGATTGCTCGGACAGCTCTTTTTTGAAGAATAAATATAGTATTTATATCTGATGCACTACCCCACAACAAAATGCCGTACGACAAGATGCTGTGAAAATAACTAAAGTAAACAAGTCTGGCAGTGTCGATGTCTGTTAGCTGCCTAACCCTTCTAATCGCAAAAACCGCGGAGCTCAGCCTATTAGCAAAGAGATGATATATGGGGACTCCACTGGAGCTTTGAATCTACTGTAATTCCCAGAAATACAGCAGACTCAACTGGATTAATGGGTACGTTATTTAATATTAAACTAAAACTTTTCCTTCTTATACTGGGAAGGGTAAAAAGAATACATCTGGTTTTTTTGGCATTTAATACCATATTATTAATAGTAAACCAGTGGAGGATATGTGAAAGCGCACTATTCACGTCGTCATAATTTAATACGTTTCGGTCAACTTTAAAAATAAGCGATGTATCGTCAGCAAACAGTACAACATCACACAACCCACTGGCATAAAAGGGGAGATCATTAATATATACTAAAAATAATAATGGGCCCAAGATTGATCCTTGTGGGACTCCCATTTTCATCTGGGACCCAGTGGAATTAACATCATTTATAGATACTTTTTGAATTCTATTACTAAGGTAAGAGGCAATGAGATTGAGGGCGATCCCACGAATGCCATAATATTCTAGCTTTTGAAGAATAGTTTTATGGTCTACGCAGTCGAAGGCTTTTGAAAGGTCACAAAAGACACCTATTGCATCTTGTGACCTTTCCCAGGCGTTATAAATATGTTTGACAAGTGCGACGCCCGCATCTGTTGTAAAGAAGAGCCCCTTGAAACAATGTGTGGGCGTTGTCATGGTGATGCAGGGGCCCCTTCAGCACCTTCTTCGGTCACCTGTTGATAAAAAAAAGGAATTACTGTCAAGCATACGATAGTATTTCTTAAAATAATCGATATCAGCTACCCAGACGAGGTAAAAAAATGGCTATCAAAAACACTCCAGCGTTTCTAGTTTTTCACTCACAAGCCTACAAAGGCTTTTCGTTTGATTGGCGTTTTGAAAAGGTCTACTGATGATTCTTTTCTGGATCGTCTTGATAAGTCTAATACTCGTGAAATGTAAAAATATCGTAAATGAACGCCGAGTTGTGCTTCATTAGTCATGTCACAGCACTATCGAAAGCAAGCGAAAGGGCCGCTCCGGTAACTATTGAAGCTAACCGTTAAAAAGGAATACAGAAAAAACGTTCCGACTTCATTGCATTTAAGATCTTATAAGGTGCACGTTAGCTCAGTGACCGGACGCCCGCTTTTGCATCAATGTACTTTAGCAAAACTAGTTCAAATTCCGGTGCTGCCACCAATGAAACTGTTGATAACAATTTTAAGTGATAGCTCATCACGTGCTTAACGGTGATTACTAACTTATTTTCACAATAAACAAGGAAATTCGTTATTTCTTCAAATACATTTTTCTTCGAAATTGGTTAATATTTTCATACACGGCAGCAGCCTCGGCTGTTGCACGAATGGGCAGGCTTGTCCGGGTAAGTACCACGACCTCACAGAAGACTGGCGTAAAGTGGAAGTATTATACTTTCGCGTTTCGTCTGGTGAGTGAGGTGGCCGGAGCTCAATTTTTAAAAGGTTGTCAACGCATCTGGAACCCTCAGGTGTAGATGTCCATGGGCGGCGGTATTTACTTAACATCAGATGAACCGTCTGCTCGCTTGGCAACTTTTCACATAAAAAAAAAAATATAGATATCTTGGAAACAAGCACTTGAATTTGGAAGTAGTATTGCAGCTGCCGTCCTTTACTGTAATATTATAAGGAAAATAAGTGAATAAAGGAATAGAGAAATAATCGTTATATATTTTCTCGTTTTGTTTTTTTAATGACAAATAATGGGAATATTTCTTTAAAATGGGCAACTTCGTTATATTTAAAATATGCTAATATTTGTCTATAAAATAGTCAGTTATTTAAAATAGACCGGTTTTAGCATCTATTACAGATATGTAATCACATATTCCTACTTTATGGCCACGGTAACAAAAATATTATTAAAAATTCTTTAAGTATTTAACTATCTTATATTATGATATACTAAATCTTAACACTTTGGTAAAAATAAATTATAGAAACTAAACTTTACTCATAACGTAAAATTACCATGTAACTGTAAATAATATGGATGCGCCAAGCATTGTTTAACAATGCAAAAAACAATGTCTATAAATGACGTTGAAAATTTCGTTTTGTGTCACAATCAGCAGTTTAGCTCAGTGGTTAAACCGTCTCGGCTCGAATTCGGAACACGTGAGTTCGCTTCTTGCAGCGGCGAGTAACTTTTCGTCCCTTTTTCTAGAGATTTTAATTTCTTTTCATAAGTGCAGAGATTAAAGCTATAAATTTAAATTTTATATGGTGTGTATGGAATATAAATAAGATAATTTTTAAAATGAAAGTATTAAATTACCATCCTTAGCTATTTTTAAATTACGTACTGATGAATTTGCGTTTACGTTATTACCAAATCGTCCATCATTAAATAAAAAACTTGTCAAAAGGAGAAGGCTTTCAGCCACACTCAGAGATCTAAATTACCATAAAATACGTTTACTTATCATAGGACTAAATTTCACAAGGGAAGTAATTAATCATGCTTTAGATAAATTAAGCATTATCTGTATTTGTTTGTTTATCGCCCGTCTTACATTGTTCAACTAAATAGTTTGTCTATAAGTAAACATCATCTTCAGTATAAATAAATATATAGACCTGCCGTTGTGCATGCATTACTGAGAAACAACTGGATAGATTTCAATTAATTCTTCTAAGCAAATTTCTTAGATATAAGGACACTATCTAAAAAAATATTTTGATATCTCCATTGAATGTCAAATGATTAAAGTTTTAAGAAAAAACAATTTTATAAGCACTACGTACTCAGTGATGTAGATTTTCTTGCCGTAAAGTGTTTCACGCGTTGCAATTGTTAATATAATAAGCAACAGGAAGTCGCGGGTATTACCTGGTAAAAAAATGAACATATTAACGTAAATATACTATGCCGATACGCAAGTATATAAAAAATGAATGTTAATGAAGTAAAATTAAAAATTACGAAAACTATTATTTTTCGTAACGACTAATCAACACCGTCTTCCGTTACGACTTTACTTATACTTAGTGGAAGATATTAGAAATGTAAATAATATGAAAAGGAATCGCATATGTTGCACTGTCACGCAGCCTAACGTTTCAAGAGATAA